CCCTCCTTGCAACGCCTGCGTGGCATGCACTCCCGTCTCCTTGTGTCTGGTCTCCCCAGGTCCCTGCCCCCGCTCCCGAGGTCACTTGCGCCGCCGTGTCTTCCCTGCATCGAGGGGTAGTAGGGCGCCGCTCCTCACTCCTCCTCGTTTCCTCCTACCACTGCTCCTCTGCAGACCCTGCACATGGACGTGTGGGGCCCCGCCCGCATCACTGGACAGGGTGGCGAGCGTTACTTTCTGCTGGTTGTCGACGACTACACGCGCTACACCACGGTCTTCTCCTTGCAGAGCAAGGCGGATGTCCGCGGTGTCTTGATCCGCTGGATCCGCGCTGTCCGTCTCCAGCTTTGCGCTCGGTTCCATGAGGACCTCCCAGTCCTGCGGCTGCACTCTGACCGAGGTGGTGAGTTTTGCTCCTGCCTCCTCGAGGACTTCTGTGGTGCTGAGGGCATCGTCCAGTCGTACACGCTTCCGGCCTCTCCACAGCAGAATGGGATTGCCGAGCGCCGCATTGGTCTAGTCATGGAGGTTGCTCGCACCTCCATGATCCATGCGGCTGCTCCCCATTTTCTGTGGCCGTTTGCGGTCCGATACGCTGCTGTGCAGCTCAACCTCTGGCCCCGTGTCTCCCACCCGGAGACCTCCCCCACTTTGCGGTGGACGGGCGAGGTTGGTGATGCGTCGGCGTTTCGGGTCTGGGGTTCCCTCTCTCTTGTCCGCGATTTGCCTTCGGGCAAGCTCTCTCCAGGCACTCTTCGGTGCGTGTTCCTTGGCTTTCCCACCGATGCACCGCCCTGGCAGTTTTACCACCCGGGCTCTTGTCGTGTGCTGTCCTCCCGCGACGTCACCTTTGACGAGCCCGTCGGCTTCTACCGTCTTCACCCCAACCGCAGTTCCCCGGTACCCCTCCCGCCTCTCTCCCTGGTGGACGACCCCCCCCCGGTAGCCCCCCTCCCTCCTCCCGGTCCCGCTCCCTCAGGTGTGTCTCAGGTAGACCCACCCCCCTTGGTTGAGCCTTTGGAGGTCTCCTCAGACACCTCTGGCCCAGCTGAGGGGGGTGACCAGACTGCTACCAACACCGTGGCCCCTCGCCGCTCCGCGCGCTTGGCGGTCCCTCCTGGGTTTCCGCCTCGACCGTCTTCACCGCCTCTGCGGCCCGTCGCTGTGGACTCTGGTGCTGCTGGAGGTGGTGACACTGGGGGTGCGGACTCTGGGGGTGCTGGCTCTGGGGGTGATGCGAGTCCTACGGGTGCAGGGGGTGCTGGAGGTGCTGCTGCTGGAGTTTCTGCGGGTGGAGGTGCTGGTGGTGCTGGTGTTGGTGGTGCTGGTGCTAGTGGTGCTGGTGCTGGTGGTGCTGGTGCACGTCGGCAGGAGACTCTCTCGCCGCAGCGGCTTCGCGAGTGGGCTGTCCGTTGGGGCAGTCCTGGTGGTGGCGCTGGATGTGCTCGAGCTGCAGGTTCTGGAGGTGCTGGCCCTGGAGGTGCTAGTGCTGGTGTTCCTGGAGTTGGCCGTACTGGAGGTACTGGTGCTGGAGGCACAGGTACTACTGGAGGTACTGGAGGTGCTGCTGCTGTGGGCGCTGTTGCGGGTAGTCCAGGCTCACGTCGCTAGGAGTCTCTCTCGCCGGAGCAGCTTCGCGAGTGGGCTGTCCGTTGGGGCAGTCCTGGTGGTGGCGCTGGACGTGCTGGAGCTGCAGGTTCTGGAGGTGCTGGCCCTGGAGGTGCTAGTGCTGGTGTTCCTGGAGTTGGCCGTGCTGGAGGTACTGGTACTGTTGGCACAGGTGCTACTGGAGGTACTGGAGGTGCTGGCCCTGTAGGTGCTAGTGCTGTTGTTCCACGAGTTGGGGGTACTGGCAGTGCTGACACTGAAGGTACTACTGGAGGTACTGTAGTTAGTGGTGCTAGTCCGCAGGAGTCGCTCTCGCCGCTGCAGCTTTGCGAGTGGGCTGTCCGTTGGGGCTGTCCCGGTGGTGGAGCTGGGGGTACTGGTTCTGAGGGTGCTGTTCCTACTGGAGCTGGAGGTTCTTGGGGTGCAACTACTCAGCCGCAGCCGTCTGCGCTTCGTCACCTTCTCAGTCTCCCGCCTGCTGCTACTGAGTTCCCGGTTGCTGGTACTACTCCTCCGTTACTGTGACTGACCAGTCTCAGCCACAGCTACTGCCTGGCTCCCCGCTGCCTGCTCCTGCTCCTCACACTGAGGTGACTGCGTCCCTGACTGCGCGTCGTGAGCCTGAGACTCGTGCTTCCACTCCTGAGCGTCGAGAGCCTGAGACTAGAGCTTCTGTCCCTGCTCGTGTTCGTCGTGTTCGTCGTCCTCGTGCTCCGGCTGTACCAGGCACTCACGATATGACACTCCGTCCTGCCTCTGTTCTACAGCGTGTTGTCCTGCCGTCGCCTTCCGCGTCCTCTCTTCCGCACGTTCCTGACCGTGAGTCTGACCTTGTCCATTCTGCCATTCCGACTGTCACTCGTCTCCTTGCCACAGTTGTGACTGACCCTTCCTTTGAGTCTGCTGCTGCGTGTGCCTTAGTTGCTGAGCTTGTTGACTTTGCCGCTTTGTGCCGCTCTGACTACGCTGCGAGTCTTGTTTTTGACTCTTCCTGTCCTCCGTCTGTCGGGGGTGAGCTTGCCCTTGGCTGTGACGTCCTTGAGGACAGGTAGTTTGAGCTGGAGTGCGTAGCGGCCGCCGCACCTCATCGCGTCCACGCTACTTTGCCCTGAGGGAGACCCAGATGCACTGGACATCCCGACCCCACGCACTTACGCAGAGGCGATCACGGGTCCGTACTCCTCTTAGTGGAAGATAGCCATGGACGCAGAGATGGCTTCCTGGAAGTCCACAGGCACCTACGTCGACGAGGTTCCCCCACCTGGGGCGAACATAGTCGATGGCATGTGGATTTTCAGGGTGAAGCGGCCGCCGGGTTCTCCGCCTGCCTTCAAGGCGCGTTACGTTGCACGAGGCTTTAGTCAGCGTGAGGGGGTCGACTTCTTTCAGACCTTCTCCCCCACCCCGAAGATGACCACTCTTCGGGTTCTACTGCGCGTTGCAGCACAGCGCGACTACGAGCTGCACTTCTCGACTTCTCGACAGCCTTCTTGCAGGGCAGCCTTCACAAGGCTATGTGATTGCGCCGTCCACGTGGCTTCACTAGGTCGTTTCCTTCAGGTACCCAGTGGAGTCTTCGGCGACCAGTCTACGGCCTACGACAGGCGCCTCGCGAGTGGCACGACACACTGAGGACTACACTTGCGGCTCTTGGCTTCGCTCCCTCAACTGCTGACCCTTCGCTGTTTCTGCGCACAGACACTTCTCTGCCGCCGTTCTACGTTCTCGTGTACGTTGACGACTTGGTTTTTGCTACTGCTGACACTGAGGCTCTGGCCTTGGTGAAGGCGGAGCTGCAGGAGAGACACACATGCACTGACCTGGGTCAGCTGCGGGGCTATCTTGGCTTGCAGATCACCCGGGACAAAGCACGCCGCACCATCACCCTCACTCAGTCACACATGGTGCAGCAGGTCCTTCAGCGCTTCGACTTCACGTGGTCCTCGCCACAGCCCACCCTCTGTCTACCGACCACTCGCTCTCAGCTCCACCTTCGGACGAGTCCGTAGAGCCGAGTGGTCCGTACCCAGAGTTTGTGGGTTGCCTCATGTACCCGATGACGTGCACACGACCTGACCTCGCGTACCCCCTCAGCCTCTTGGCTCGCTACGTGGCTCCCGGTAGACACCGAAAGGTGCACTGGGAAGCTGCGAAGACGGTATTGCGTTACTTGTGCAGTACATTGGGCATGGGGCTCGTGCTTGGAGGACGGGGTTCAGTTGTTCTCACCGGTCACTCAGACGCTTCTTGGGCTGACGACCAGACGACTCACCAGTCGACACAGGGGTACAGTTTCAGCCTCGGCACTGGTTCTGTCTCGTGGAGGTCCACTCGCTCTTCTTCTGTACTTAGTTCTAGCTGTGAGGCCGAGATCTACGCTGGGGCTATGGCTGCACAGGAGCTCCGCTGGCTGACCTACTTGGTGACCGACTTGGGTGAGCGGCCTCGTTCTCCTCCAGTTCTGTACGTCGACAACAAGGCCATGATTGCGTTGTGTCAGGACCAAAGACTGGAGCACAGAACGAAGCACATTGCTATCCGTTACTTCCTCACGCGAGAGCTGCAGCAGCGTTGTCAGCTTCGTCTTGCTTACGTGGCCACACGGGCCAACACTGCTGATGTCTTCACCAAGGCCCTTGGGTCTAGTGATCATTAGCGTTTCTGCACTGCTCTTGGGCTTGTGCCCACTCTGGCTCACTTGCTTGTCTCTTGATCTTGCTCTGTACTTTGATATATAAACCTGCATGTTTCTGGTTGCTAGGTTGTAATCATTGTCCTGCTTGCTCTATTATAAAACTGCATGTGAACTGGCCTTGTGGCCGCCTGCTTGTGCTCGGAATGTGTGGTGTCGTTGAGATCCACCCTGAGCTTTGTTCTTTGTTTCTTCTCTTGACTGGTCTTGTGACCGTTTGTTGTCCCCCGCTTAGCCTATGGGGGTGTGTCAAATGTAATATCTCACTATAGGCTATATTGGGGTACTCATTAGGGGGTATAACCCATTAGGGTTTCCTACTTGTATGTTTGTACCCCTCCATTCTAGACATTCCTGTTTCCTTGTTCTGACAGGTATGATTTTCAGACCATCAGACCAATTTGGTCTGATAACCAGAGCCCTGGCGCATGGCCTGCAGTTTGGGACTCTGGTTTTAACGTGTACAAGTACATTACATCGAGCCTCAGCCGTTCTTCGCCCGTTACCACCCGCTAGTGCTCGTTGCATTGTGCGACACCCTGGCGAAATATGCATCGCTGTATAATTCCAAGTCAGCCTACGCCTTAAGACTAGCTCGAGCCTCGCTGTCACTTTCACCCTTTTCTTTTTATTGAACAAAAAACAGCAGCAGGTACGGGAACCTTGACGGCTGCAACAGCGTAAGTTCGTAACCTGACTGTCAAGGCAAATCCCCATAATCATCCTCCCCTGCAAACATAGCTGCCTCATCGATTCCTGTAGCGCCACCACCACGCCCAGCTGCACCTCCAGCCCCTTCACCGCCCCCCACACCCCCTCCCACTCCCCCCATCGCTCCCATGCCATCCATGCCCCTCATCCCTCCCACTTCCCCACCCATGCCTCCGAAGGACGACACCAGAGATGAGTCTGGGATCCCCGCCAGCAGTGACGACCCTCCCCCCATGCCCATGCCCGCTGCTCCCCCCATGCCCATGCCCATGCCCATGCCTTGACCGGAAGCAGCAGCAGAGGGCATGTGGGAGGAGGCATGGAAGGGGGCATGCTGTTGCATGCCCATGCGCTGCGGAAGGTGGTCTGCAGGGAAGGGCTCATCCATGCCTGCCCCTCCTGACCCACTCCGCCCCGCTGCTTGCCCTTGCCCTTGTCCCGTCTGCTGCTGCTGCTGCTGCTGCATCCCCCCGGCGCCACCTGCCCGTCCCGCACCGCCTGGCTGGCCAGACGCCCACTGCTGCTGCTGATCCTGATGCTGCTGACTGTACTGCGGCTGCTGCTGCATGGTCTGTGCTGGCAAGCCTCTCATGTGGGTGGGAATTTGAGACGATGCCATTGGTCCTTGGCCTGCCATTGGGTGGAGGATGAAAATAGAGGAAACAGAAAAAGAGCAGAGAGCAGAGAGCAGAGAGCAGAGAGCAGAGATCAGAGAGCAGAGAGCAGAGAGCAGAGAGCAGAGAGCAGAGAGCAGAGAGCAGAGAGCAGAGAGCAGAGAGCGGAGAGCAGAGAGCAGAGAGCAGAGAGGAGAGAGCAGAGAGCGGAGAGCAGAGAGCAGAGAGCAGAGAGCGGAGAGCAGAGAGCAGAGAGCAGAGAGCGGAGAGCAGAGAGAAGAGAGCAGAGAGCAGAGAGCGGAGAGGTGTTGTGAGGAACAGCAGTGAAACTTCGCTGCAGAATGCTGCCTGCTTCTTTGTTTGCTGCCAGAAATGTGCCGACCATTGATGGCAATGTGCCGACCACTGATGGCAATGTGCCGACCATTGATGGCAACGTGCCGACCATTGATGGCAATGTGCCGACCATTCATGGTATTGTGCCAACCACTGATGCCAATGCGCCGTCTCGAAACAAGCATGGCTCAAACAGTGTGGGTTAAGCGAGAGCACCAGAAAGCACACCACATTGAGGTGGTTTTGGAGAACAATCAGAGATCAGATAAAAAAACCCATCGCACCCATTGAGGTGGTTTCTTAGGCGCCTCAGGACCCGGCTCACCTTGGAAGAAGCCCGCCCTCCCCGCACCAGCATTGCCTGCTCCCATGCCCTGCACTGCGCCTCCCATCGCTCCCATCCCCCCCATACCCCCCATCCCTCCCATGCTGCCCATTCCCATTCCTCCCATTCCTCCCATCCCTGCCATCCCCTGCCCCTGCCCCTGCCCCTGCTGCCCTGTGCCTCGGTCCATCCCCCGCTCCTCCTGCCCCGTGGGTCCTGCCAGCTGCTGCCGCTGCTGCTGCACAAGCATCTCCCCAGGCGCCTGCAGCTGCCCCCCCGCCCCGCCTGCTCCCCCCATCGCCCTTCCGCCTCCCCCTCCCCCCCCTTGCTGTTGCTGCTGCAGCTGGTGCGGCGGCTGGTGTGGCGGCTGGTGTGGCGGCTGGAACATGTGCCTTTGATTCATCGGTGCTGGCGGGCTGCTGTGAGGAGGGGAGGAAAGCCCCTGCATTTGCTGCATCTGCTGCTGCTGCTGCTGCATGTGCATCTGTTGCTGCTGCCCTTGTGCCTGGCCTTGCCGCATGCCCTGCTGCCGCTGTAAGTGCTGCTGCTGCTGCTGCATTTGCTGCTGCTGCTTCAACTGCTGCTGCTGCTGCATTTGCTGCTGCTGCTTCAACTGCTGCTGCTGCTGCATTTGCTGCTGCTGTATCTTCTGTCTAACTTGATTCTGCCCACCAAGCTGACTGCCCTGAGGGCCCCCCATCCCCCCACCTGCTGCACCCCCCATCTGGGACTGCAAGTGCGCTGCTAGGTGAGCCAGCTGCTGCTGAGGCGAGTGCACCGCCTGCTGCTGCCCCTGACCGCCATCGCGCAGGCTGCTCTGCTTCTCACTCCCCCCTCGCGGGCTTGGAAGGCCCTTCATCGCCTTCCCTGCCGCCTCACCCTCGCTGCCGCCTGCACTGCTCCTTGCACTCCCCACAGTGGCACCACTCGCAGCAGCAGCACCAACGCCCTCACCGTCAGCCCCAGCAGAAGCAGCAGCGGAGCCACCCGGAGCTGCCCCACCAGCTGAAGAGGCGTTCGCAGCAGCTGCAGCGGCAGCCGCGGCGGCGGCGGCAGCAGCGGCTCTGGCTTTGGCAGAGACCTTTGGCTTTGACTTGGGCTTGGGCTTCTGAGCTGCAGCTGCTTCCGCTGCTCCTGCTGCTCCTCCTGCTGCTGCTGCCGCTGCTGCTGCTGCTGCCGCCGCTGCTGCAGCTGATGCTTTTTTTGGGCGAGACTTGGGCTTCTGAGGAATGGGATGGAAAGTAACAGCAGAGAGAGACATGATTTGAAATGGCATGAAATACTTGATGATGTGAAGTGAAAGCATACCAAAGCCAGAAAGTACTCTTTTGAAGGTGATTCAAGCTCTTAGCATCGTCAGCTCCCTCTTTTCGCACCTGAGGAGCGGAAGTAGGAACAGCAGGGGCGGGAGAGGAGGTGGCAGCAGCAGCAGTGCCAGCATCAATAGCAGCAGTGGCGCCCTTGCTGTTGCTTGGCTCCTTCTGCCCCACTCCCCCTTGCACTCCCCCTTGCAACCCCCCTTGCACACCCGATTGCACGCTCGTACCCCCCTGCATCGTCGATCGCCCCTGCAAGTCCCCTTCCCCCACCACCCCCTGCTGCACTGTGCCTTGCGCTGCCTGCCCCTGAAACTCCTGCCCCCCTTGCTCTTGTCCCTGCCCTGTCAACTGCCCATGTCCGTGTCCCTGCCCTTGCACCTGCCCTTGCAACTGCCCCTGCAACTGCCCTTGCTGTCCCTGCCCTTGCTGTCCCTGTCGCAGCCCCTGCAGCTGCCCTTGCCCATGCTGCTGTGCCTGCCAAGACGACATGCCGCTACCACTACCACCACCACCCGCACCACCTGCACCGCCCACACCACTACCCATGCCTGCTCCCATGCCAGCACCCATATTTGCACCCATGCCCGCACCCATGCCCTTTTGAGTCGACTCAAAAGTCATGCCTGCACCCATACCTGCTCCCATACCCGCACCCATAGCGGTGGCTGTTGCAGCCATAGCAGCAGGCAGCGCAGCAGAAGGGGAGGAAAATTGGGAGAGAGGATTCGATGCAGAGGCAGGGGGAGAAGAGAACGATGTATCCATACGACTGCCAGCTCCCATGCCCATGCCCATATTCATACCCATACCCATACCCATGCCCATATTCATGCCCAGACTGGCCAAATTCCCTCCCATGCCTCCTCCCATCCCTCCTACGCCTGCTGTTGCCCCCATCCCACCCACCACCCTGCCTCCTGCCGCTCCTGGGCTCACCCCAGCTCCACTCGCGTTGAACGCACCCCCAAATCCGCCCATCCCGCCCATGCCCGCCCCTGCTGCTCCCCCCACACCCCCTTCCCCTTCCCCTACTCCCCCAGAGCCCCCACCCATGCCTCCCCCTGCCATTCCCCTCATCCTCCCGCCACCACTCCCCCCCCCTCCCCCTCCCCCTCCCCCTCCTGCCAAACCAGTTGCTGCCGAGCCTCCCTGCAAGGCCTGGAAGCCTGGAAGCCCCAAACCTGAGCCCGGAAGCTCGGAGAACTTATGCAGCGAGAGGGGGTCGAGGGGGGAGGAGGAGGAGGGGCCCAGGGGCGCGGCACTGTGCGACAGAGACGACGGCTGAGAGGCGAGACCGGAATGGGCAGCAGCAGTGGTGGCAGGGAAGGAGGAGAGGGAGGCGGCGGGGAGAGACGGGGCAGCGGAGGAGGGGGTGGGGGGAAGGGAGGAGGGCGAGGGCGCGGGGTGGGAGGGGAGGGGGAGGGCGGCGGGGGAGGGGGAGGGGGTGCTCTGGTTGGTGATGGCGCGTGAGCTGGCCTCCCAGAAGAGCGCCCCCAGCACGCCCCTCAGCCTCGCCTCGTGCCGCGCGTGCTGCATGCCCGTCGCCAGCGGGAGTGGAGCCGGGGCTGAAACGGAGGAAAAGGGCGGGCGTGGTGGAGAAGGGGAGCAATATGGAGGGGAGAGGGGTGCAGGATGGAAGGAGAGAGGGTGGGGGATGGAGTGAGAGGGAAGGTGAGGGATGTAGGACGGGGGTTGTGGAGTGGAGGAGAGAGGGTGGAGAATGGAGTGGAGGGTAAAATGAACTTTCCCTGTCTGATCCCTTTAACCCTCTGTTGCTGCAACGTATGGCTCCCACCAAGATCGTTGGAACACTTCATTCATTGTGAGCCACAACCACAAGTACCATCCATGCGACTTTTGAGGCGACTCAAAAGTCGCCTCTGCTTCCCACCAAGATTGTTGGGACACTTAATTCATTGTGAGCCACAAGTGCCATCCATGCTCTCACTGCCTTTATAATTCCATAGAGTTTTCTCCGAGTTTGTTACATTGAGTGGCAAGAAGCCCAAGTTAGCTATCCCCACCTGGGCGCTGCTATTCCCCGCACAACACGTGCGCATCTGGGGGCTGCTGGTCCTTGCGCAGCGGCTTGCACTGCTTGCGGATGAAGTCGAAGGTGCTTCACCTGGCGGCTGCTACTACGAGTGCTGTCCCCCACCCCAGTGCGCACCTCGCGGCTGCTAGTAATCTAAGCAACACACCTGGCGGCTGCTGGTCCTTGCGCAGTGGCTTGGATTGTTTGAGAATGAAGTCAAAGGTGCTGCGCCGCGACGCACTTGCCTTCTTCTTTGGCGCCGCTGGCTTGCCTGCTTGAGGGAGGGAGAGGTGAGTGAGATTTAAGATGGCCGCAAGGGGTGAGAGGTGAGATCGCTGAGGGTGTGGGGTGATGGCAGACACTTGCCTTCTTCTTTGGCGCCGCCGCCTTGCCTGCTGGCCGTGCGAGGTGGGATGGCCGTGGGGTGATGCCACGCGTGGCACGTGGCATGGCAGAAAAGAGTGAGTGGAGCATTGAAAACGGCGGCGAGTGAATGCATGGCATGCCAAGACATGGTTAAGCAAGTTTGGACTGAAAACGGAAAAAGAGAGGGTCACAAAGAGAGTGCGAGGGTAACAAAGGCTGTTGTCTAGCAAAAAAAGAGAAGAGCCAGAGCCGTGGCTGTGCGTGGGAAGGAGGGAGGAGAGGTGGGAGAGGTGGGAGAGGTGGGAGAGGTGGGTGGGTGGGTGTGTGAGTAGATGGCATGCCTGCTGCTGGTGCCGTGACTGGCTTGGCAGCATGTGCTGGTCCCGTGGCAGGCGGGGTGTCAGACGCACCCCTGCAGCACAGATGGAGAGGGGATACGGGGAGAGGGAGGGGGGATACGGGGAGAGGGAGAGGGGATACGGGGAGAGGAAGAGGGGATACGGGGAGAGGGAGAGGGGATACGGGGAGAGGAAGAGGGGATACGGGGAGAGGAAGAGGGGATACGGGGAGAGGGAGAGGTGAGACAGGGAGAGGGAGAGGGAACGGGGAGAGAGGACAGGGAAGAGGGCTAGGAGAGAAGCGGCAAGCTGAATGGAAGCAAAACGGACGCCGTTACAGCATCGTTCAAAAAGGAGAGGAAAGATAAGAAAAGACAAGGCCAAAGAAACTTGCACAGATCTGCATCTACTGAACAGAACATCAAAGAGATAAAATTAACGAACTCAAACAATCCAGCAGAGCGAGCAGTCAGGCAAATGAGCTCACCCCACTTTCCCCCCTGCAGCGGCGCCCCCTGCATGCGCCCCTTGCTTGGCTGCTGCCTTCTTGTCCTTGCGCTCACCACCCCCCACTGCCGCCCGGCCCCGCTCCGCCTCTGCTCCACCCGCCCCCTCCTTCCCCTGCAGCCGTTGCTGCTGCTGCTGCTGTTGCTTCTGTTGCTGCTGCTGCTGATGCCGCTGTTGCTGCAGCTGCTGCTGGTGTTCCTGCTGTTGGTGCTGCTGCTGCTGCAGTGGTTGGTGCTGCTGCTGCTGTTGTTGTTGTTGCTGCAGCTGCTCTTGCTGCTGTTGCTGCTTCACTAGCTGCTGCTGCTGCTGCTGTGACTGCTGTTGCTGAGCAATAGGAATTGCCATAGCATCTCCAGCTGCTGCTGCCTTTGCCTCTGGAAGAGCAGACACAGATGCATGCAGGGCACAGAGGAAAACGGAAAGGAGGGAGGGAGGCAAGTGAGGGCTGTGAATGCAATCCTCCAGTCAGCCTGCATCGTCACTGCATAACAGGCAGATGGGAAGGGACTGCTGCGCACCTCGCACCTTCTACCTCCCACCTCCCAACTCTCGTTTCTCACTTCACTCAGCTGACAGAATATAAATCTATCCTTCACCGCCGCCCACCTGCCCACCACTCACTGCCGCCCACCTGCCACCACTCACTGCTGCCCACCTGCCACCCCTCACTGCCGCCCACCTGCCACCACTCACTGCCGCCCACCTGCCACCCCTCACTGCCGCCCACCTGCCATCCCTCACTGCCGCCCACCTGCCACCCCTCACTGCCGCCCACCTGCCACCCCTCAGTGCCGCCCACCTGCCACGCCCCAGTGCCGCCCACCTGCCGCCTGTCTCTGAGCCGCTGCAGCAGCAGCAGCCGCGGCTGCTTTGGACATCTTCTTGGGCCGAGCTGCTGCCGCCCCGCCTGCTGCGCCGCCTGAAGGGGGCAACGGGTGGGGAACGACAAGGGGGGAGGGGGTGTGTGTGCAGTGCGAGAATGAGAGGAAGAGAGGGAACGGATATCTGCTTTGGACATCTTCTTGGGCATCGCTGCTGCCGCCCCGCCTGCTGCCCCGCCTGGCACAGTGAGGGCGGGTAAAAGGGGGGCAGAGGGGGGCAGAGGGGGGCAGAGGGGGGCAGAGGGGGGCAGAAGGGGGGCAGAGGGGGGCAGAGGGGGGCAGAAGGGGGAAAGCGGTGGGGAAGGAAGGGGAGGCGGACAGCTGCTTTGGACATCTTCTTGGGCCTTGCTGCCGCCCCGCCTGCTGCTGCGCCTTGGGGAGTGCAGGCGGGCAGAGGTGCACAAAGGGGGGGAAGAGGGAGAGGGGTTGGGGGAGGGGGGGGGGGGGGGGGAGGGGGGGTTGTGCAGTGCAGTGGAAGAGAGGGTGAAAGGACATCTGCGTGAATGGGGTGAGAAGAGGGGTGGGGCGTCTTCTTTCAGTGACTGGATGCCAGAACGCACACGTGCCACACGCACACACACGTGGCCCTCAGCCACGTGCCCACAGGCCTGATTGGCGCACGAGAGACATTTTTTTGCCCACTCAGAATATCGAAGGCAACCCTAAAACGATTTCTGAGTCGACCCAAAAGCCTGCACGAGTGACTCGCCGATGCCGCTCCGTTAAAACGCCCTGCTCATCCTTTACCACCGCATGCCCTCTCACTCACCAATGCCCTCACTCACGCCGCATCGCTCTCGCTCACACCTCATCCCTTACGTTTCGTCCCCTTCGCCTTGCCTCCGCCTGCGGTTCCCGCCGTTCCACCGCCGCCAGCGGCGCCAGCTGTCGCGGTGGGGCCCGTCGCAGGCGCAACCTGCGCGGAGGCCGCCAGCCCCGCCGCGCCGCCTCCCTTGGGCTGCATTGCGCCGCTGCTGCGCCTAGACGAGCGCGGTACCGCCGTTCCCACTGAACTGGTCCCGGGAGGCTTCGACGCGGGCGGGCGTAGAGATGGCTGGACTAGACTTGCGGGCGAGGACTTGTTCTGGGGATCGACTGTCGCTGATGTTTAACTTTCATGCGCGCGACACGCGCTGAAAATGCTGGGGAAATGGTAAGTTCGTTATCTCAATCGCAACATGTTCTTCGTTAGCGAGCTGCCCCCTCACCGTTTCAGTGCGGTGCACTACGTCCGGGATATACTCATCAGAGGATATGTTATGAGTTGTATAAGAGTGAGAGGAAATCAATATCGAAGAGTTATAACTACTCACAATCAGGGTCTCCGTCAGGCCCTATGTTATCAGGATAATTTATCCTGAATCTCCAGAATTCAGGATAGGTGTTGTGTGTTTCTGTCAAATGTTATTATAGGTTCTTAGGCTACAGTGAGTAGCACTCTAGGGAGTACAACGCATTTAGGGTTGCTATTTGTATCACTTGTTTCCCTAGTTCACATATTCCGTTGTTCGCTAACTTTGAGATGGTATCAGAAGTTGTTAGAATCTTAGGCAAGGAGAAGTGATTGAACTATCGAGAGGTTTGGTACAAGAGTGAATCCTAAGGGGTTGACCCCACAGTATGTACCCCACTAAGCCTACCCAAACTACAACATATAAATATATGTTTGACACACCCCCATAGGCAAAGTGGGGGAGAACAGAGGGTCACAAGGCCAGTCAGGAAGTGCAAAGCAAGCTCAGGGTGGATCACAACGTCACCACGCAGTCTGAGCACAAGCAAAAGGCCACAAGGCCAGTTCACATGCAGAGATATATATCTAACAACAACAGCGCAGTGATCTCTACCTACCAGAGCAAGCATGCAGGTATACATATAGATCACAGTACAAACAAGGCCTACAGCAAGTGAGGAAGCGTGGGCACAAGGCCTAACAAAGTACAGAAACGCTGATGATCACCAGGCGGAAGCGCCTTGGTGAATATATCAGCAGTGTTGGCCCGAGTGGCCACGTAAGCAAGACGAAGCTGGCCACGCTGCTGCAGCTCTCGAGCAAGGAAGTAACGCAGAGCGATGTGCTTCGTTCTGTGCTCCAGACACAAGGCAATGGCGGCCTTGTTGTCGACGTACAGCACTGGAGGAGAACGAGGCCGCTCTCCCAAGTCGGTCAGCAGGTAGGTGAGCCAGCGTAGCTCCTGTGCAGCCATGGCTGTGGCGTAGATCTCAGCCTCACAACTGGAGCCGAGAACTGAAGACGAGCGTGTAGAACGCCAGGAAACTGAACCAGAACCAAGGCTGAAGGTGTAACCCTGTGACGACCGCTGCGTAGCCTGGTCGTCAACCCAAGAGGCGTCCGAGTGACCAGCGAGGACAACGTCACCCCGTCCTCCAAGCACGAGCCCCATGCCCGATGTACTGCACAAGTAGCGTAGTACCCTCTTAGCAGCATCCATGTGCACCTTTCAGTGCCGACCAGGAGCCACGTAGCGAGCCAGAAGGCCAAGAGGGTACGCAAGGTCAGGACGAGTGCAGGTCATCAGGTACATGAGGCAGCCCACTAGCTCTGGGTAAGGACCACTCGGCTCTACGGACTCGTCCGAAGGTGGAGCTGAGAGCGAGTGACCTGTAGCCAGAGGAGTGGCCTGTGGTGAGGACCAGGTGAAGCCGAAGCGCTGAAGGACCTGCTGCACCATGTGTGACTGAGTCAGTGTGATGGTGCGGCGTGCTCTGTCCCGGGTGATCTGCAAGCCAAGGTAGCTGCGCAGCTCACCCAGGTCTGTGCACGTGTGTCTCTTCTGCAGCTCCGACTTCACCAGGGCGAGAGCCTCAGTGTCAGCAGTGGCAAAGACCAAGTCGTTGACGTACACGAGGATGTAGAACGGCGGCAGTGAAGTGTCGGTGCGCAGAAACAGCGACGGGTCAGCAGTCGACGGGGCAAACCCAAGAGCCACAACAGTCATCCTCAGTGTGTCGTGCCACTCACGTCGCGCCTGGCGGAGACCGTAGACTGGCCGCCGGAGACTCCACTGGGTACCAGGAGGGAACGACCCAGTGAAGCCAGGTGGGCGGCGCAGCCAGATCTCCTCGTGCAGGCTGCCCTGTAAGAAAGCTGTGCTGAAGTCAAGAGAGTGAAGCTCGTAGTCACGCTGAGCGGCAACGTGCAGCAGTACCCGAAGAGTGGTCATCTTCGGGGTGGGGGAGAAGGTCTGGAAGAAGTCAACTCCCTCTCGCTGACTGAAACCTCGAGCAACGTAACGAGCCTTAAAGACAGGCGGAGAACCTGGCGGCCGCTTCACCCTGAAAATCCACATGCCACTGACGATGTTCGCCCCAGGAGGGGGAACCTCGTTGACGTACGTGCCTGTGGACTTCCAGGATGCCATCTCTGCGTCCATGGCTGTCTGCCACTGAGAGGAGTACTCACCCGCGATCGCCTCAGCGTAAGAGCGCGGGGTCGGGATGTCTGGTGCATCCGGGTCTCCCTCAGGGGCAAGCAGCATGGCCACGAGATGAGGCGCAGCGGCTGCAAGACACTCAAGGTCCTCCTGCCTGTCCTCAAGGACGTCCGTGCCAAGAGCACACTCACCCCCGACGGACGGAGGACACACAGACTCAGACTCAGCAACAAGACTACCAGCGTAGTCTAGACGACAGGCAGCAGCAAAGTCAACAAGCTCAGCGACTAAGGCAGACGCAGCAGCAGACTCAAACGACGGGTCAGTGACAACTGTGGCTAGCAGACGCGTGACAGTAGGGTGCTCAGCACGAAACCGGTCAGACTCAGGGTCCGCAACGACAGGCAGAGAAGACGCAGGAGGAGACGGCAGAGGAACACGCTGCGGAGGAGAGGAAGGACGACGGACTACGAGGTGGGTGTCGGGGACAGCCGGCTGACGCGGACGAGGAACACGACGACCGGAACTACCAGAACGGACAGGCGAGACAGGACGCGACGCAGGCTCACGACGCTCAGTAAAACCCCCTGTCTGCTCAGTGTAAGGAGAAGGAGCACGCAGCGGTGAGCCATGCTGTAACGGAAGACCAGTAGACGAAGGGAGACTAAGAACCTGGCGAAGCACAGAGTCAGGCGGTGGCTGAGACGACGGAGACGGCGGAGCGAAGAACAGGCGCGGCTGTGCAGTGACACCAGCACCAGCAGCTCCAGTACCCCCAGCAGCTCCAGCACCTCCAGCAGCTCCAGAACCCTCAGCGCCAGCTCCTCCAGGACCAGCTCCACCACCAGCAGCACCCCCAGAATCGGCACCTCCAGTCCCAGGGTCTCCAGCCTCCGTGTCTCCAGCAGCAGCACCCCCAGACCCAGGGTCTCCAGCAGGAGCACCCTCAGGCTCAGCAGCACCTCCAGCCCCAGCAGCTCCAGTACCTCCAGTACGGGCACCTCCGGGACCAGTACCACTCCCAGCTCCAGTGACGTCAGCAGAAGTACCTCCAGCGGCAGAGCCCCGAGCTCCAGAAGCGCGACCCTGACGGCGACCGTACCAGTCGTGCAGCTGCTGTGAGGTGAGAGGCACACGCGGACGAAGGCGGCTACTCCAAGGAGACTGCGCAGCAGCAGACTCAGAACCCTCAGGTGTCGCACCTCCAGACTCAGTACCCCCAAGCTCCTCACGCTCGGGCTCAGCACCCCCAGACTCCGCACCCCCCGGCTCAGCACCTCCTGGGTCCTCACGCGCAGGCTCCGCACCCCCAGGCTCAGTACCCACAAGCTCCGCACCCACAGGCTCAGCACCCCCAAGCTCCGCACCCCCACGCTCCGCACCCCCAAAGTCAGCACCACCCCCAGCAGGACCTGAGTCACCAGTGACCTCAACAGGCGCAGGCATGGGAGGGTCTACCTGATAAATACCTGAAGGAGCAGGACCTGGCGCGGGGAGGGGGTCTACCTGGGGAGGACCTGGGGCGAGAAAGAGCGGCGGGGGGGGGGCGAGGGGCAGTGCGGTAGGGAAAGAGACGGTAAAAGGGGACGGACTCGTCAAAGGTGACGTCCTGAGATGGAAAGACACGGCGCGAGGCGGGGTCGTAAAACTGCCAGCCAGGCGCGTCAGGGACAAAGCCAAGGAAGACGCAGGGAATGGCGCGAGCGGAGAGCTTGTCCGCGGTGGTATCGCGGACAAAGGCACGAGCACCCCAGACGCGGAAACGCGACGCATCGCCAGCCTTCCCCGTCCACAGCAGTGTGGGCGAGGTCTCCGGCAAGGAGACACGGGGCCAGAGGTTGAGCTGAAGTAGGTGTCGATCCTCTCGCCTAGCCTAGCCTAGCTCGCGCCCTTGCGCCCTCCGCGCCCTCCGCGCCCTCCGCGCCTTAGCCTCCGCGCCCTCCGCGCCATCTCCGCGCCTTAGCGCCCTCCTCCTCCGCACGTTAGCACCCTCAGCGCCCCTAGCCTGCGCCCCTAGCCCGTCGCCCAGGCGCCCGCCCTAGCCCGACGCCCAGGCGCCCGCCCTAGCCCGTCGCCCAGGCGCCCGCCCTAGCCCGACGCCCAGGCGCCCGCCCTAGCCCGTCGCCCAGGCGCCCGCCCTAGCCCGTCGCCCAGGCGCCCGCCCCAGCCCGTCGCCCAGGCGCCCGCCCTAGCCCGTCGCCCAGGCGCCCGCCCTAGCCCGTCGCCCAGGCCCGCGCCCTAGCCCGTCGCCCAGGCGCCCGCCCTAGCCCGTCGCCCAGGCGCCCGCCCTAGCCCGTCGCCCAGGCCCACGCCCTAGCCCGTCGCCCAGGCCCGCGCCCTAGCCCGTCGCCCAGGCACCCGCCCTAGCCCGTCGCCCAGGCGCCCGCCTTAGCCCGTCGCCCCAGCCCGCGCCCTGGCCCGTCGCCCCAGCCCGCGCCCTAGCCCGTCGCCCCAGCCCGCGCCCTGGCCCGTCGCCCCAGCCCCGCAGGCAGCGCGCCGCGCGGGTAGCGCGCCCCGCGGGTAGCGCGCCCCGCAGGCAGCACACCCTGCAGGCAGCGCGCCCCGGAGC